TATTCTGAAGACAATGTACATATGTGTCTATGTGTTTGAAGTCATGTTTTTGGTATGTATTCTGTTTGAAGTTCTGTTACACCTCTACGACTGTTATGCATGTTTTAAATGTTGTGTTTCTCACCATTCACCTGATGAAGGAGTAAGCATAATACTCCGAAACGTTTTGTTTCTCATAATAAAAACGTTGACATCCATAAATTCTCTTCCTTATGACGGGGCGGTGGGGTAGCCGAGTGGTTAAAGCGTTAGCTGGTCACGCCGAAGGCCCGGTTTCGATACCCCAACAATGTGTGACGCCCATTTTCTGTTGTCCTCGTGATATTGCTGGAATATTACTAAAAGCGGCGTAAAACCTCACTCACTCACTCTTCTTTGTGACACATTTATTTGGAAACCATCAGTTTTAGTTAATGGGTATATGCCACTCTCCTGGTTTCAGTGTTATTATGATATATACACATCGTTTCCTAAAATCTAATGGCTTCTTTATATCTACATCATGTATCTGGCTTCTTTATATCTACATCATGTATCTGGCTTCTTTATATCTTCATCATGTATCTGGCTTCTTTAGATGTACATCATGTATCTGGCTTCTTTATATCTACATCATGTACCTGCCTTCTTTATATCTACATCATGTATCTGGCTTCTTTATATCTACATCATGTACCTGGCTTCTGTATATCTACATCATGTATCTGGCTTCTTTATATCTACATCATGTATCTGGCTTCTTTATATCTACATCATGTACCTGGCTTCTGTATATATACATCATGCATCTGGTTTCTTTATATTTACATCATGTACAGTGTACATTTTTTGTAGTGACTTCTGAAATTAGTAAGTTGTAGAAGCATTTCGATCCATTTACAAATTTAAGCACATTTTCGATACATGGGGGTATCTGGCTTCTTTATATCTACATCATGTATCTGGCTTCTTTATATCTACATCATGTATCTGGTTTCTTTATAGGTAGATCATGTATCTGGCTTCCTTATATCTACATCATGTATCTGGCTTCCTTATATCTACATCATGTATCTGGCTTCTTTATATCTACATCATGTATCTGGTTTCTTTATATCTACATCGTGTATCTGGCTTCTTTATATCTACAATATTTACCTGCCTTCTTTATATCTACATCATGTATATGGCTTCTTTATATCTTCATCGTGTATCTGGCTTCTTTATATCTACATCGTGTATCTGGCTTCTTTATATCTACATCGTGTATCTGGCTTCTTTATATCTACATCATGTATCTGGCTTCTTTATTTCTATATCATGTATCTGGCTTCTTTATATCTACATCATGTATCTGGCTTCTTTATATCTACATCATGTATCTGGCTTCTTTATATCTACATCATGTATCTGGCTTCTTTATATCTACATCATGTACCTGCCTTCTTTATATCTACATCATGTATCTGGCTTCTTTATATCTACATCATGTATCTGGCTTCTGTATATCTACATCATGTACCTGGCTTCTTTATATCTACATCATGTATCTGGCTTCTTTATATCTACATCATTTACCTGGCTTCTTTATATCTACATAGTGTACCTGCCTTCTTTATATCTACATCGTGCACTCGGCTTCTTTATATCTACATCATGTATCTCGCTTCTTTGTATCTACATCGTGTACCCGGCTTTCTTATCTCTACATCATGTATCTGGCTTCTTTATATCTACATCATGTACCTGGTTTCTTTATATCTACATCATGTATCTGGCTTCTTTATATCTACATCATGTATCTGGCTTCTTTATATCTACATCATGTATCTGGCTTCTTTATATCTACATCATGTACCTGCCTTCTTTATATCTACATCATGTATCTGGCTTCTTTATATCTACATCATGTATCTGGCTTCTTTATATCTACATCATGTACCTGGCTTCTTTATATCTACATCGTGTATCTGGCTTCTTTATATCTACATCATGTATCTGGCTTCTTTATATCTACATCATGTATCTGGCTTCTTTATATCTACATCATGTACCTGCCTTCTTTATATCTACATCATGTATCTGGCTTCTTTATATCTACATCATGTATCTGGCTTCTTTATATCTACATCATGTACCTGCCTTCTTTATATCTACATCATGTACCTGCCTTCTTTATATCTACATCATGTATCTGGCTTCTTTATATCTACATCATGTACCTGCCTTCTTTATATCTACATCATGTACCTGCCTTCTTTATATCTACATCGTGTACCTGGTTTCTTTATATCTACATCATGTACCTCGCTTCTTTATATCTACATCATGTATCTGGCTTCTTTATATCTACATCATGTATCTGGCTTCTTTATATCTACATCATGTACCTGGCTTCTTTATATCTACATCATGTATCTGGCTTCTTTATATCTACATCATGTATCTGGCTTCTTTATATCTACATCATGTACCTGGCTTCTTTATATCTACATATCATGTATCTGGCTTCTTTATATCTACAATATGTATCTGGCTTCTGTATATCTACATCGTGTACCTGGCTTCTTTATATCTATATCATGTATCTGGCTTCTTTGTATCTACATCATGTACCTCGCTTCTTTATATCTACATCATGTATCTGGCTTCTTTATATCTTAATCATGTATCTGGCTTCTGTTTGCATTGAGTATATATACAAACAACAATAATATAACTGAACTTGTTTGTTTTAATCCATTTGCACGTGCAGACAGGTACAGTATATCATACTGCGCACATGTAGATATATTATTTGCAGCCAGGTAATAAAGAAGCCAGATACATGATGCAGATACAAAGGTGTATATATATATAAATGCAAATATAAAACATGTTAAACTATGAAGGAATACTATTAAATACTAAATTTAACTGATGGCTACCGCCCGGTTAGGTTGTAAACTTCTACACTTTTATGAGACAAGTTCAGTCGTTGTAATTTGCATTGATTAGTTTTTAAGTACATCGGAAGGATATGGATCTCATCACCGACACCGATACCAAACGCTAAGCAAACCAATGTTATCTGAACACGAAACTGAGTGAGTGAATTTGGCTTTCCGGCTCCCTTTGAACAAGATTTCAGTGGTATAACAACGTGTCAGTCTGATCTATATGTTGATGAGAAATCTACAGTTTTCAGAGGTGAGAATTATCTTCCTTTGCCAGCTCAAATGCAACGGCGAGGTGAAATGGTGCTTAAGGTTGCGTTCAAGACTATTTCACTTATAGCGACGTCCGTACACGTCCATGCATAGAACTGTAACGGTTGCCGGTTTAACTGTGCTTGATCTCGTTTTACGGAAGGAGCCGAAAGGCGGCGATTTGGGACCAGCCGAGTAAAACCAGTGCAGCAACCCACACCTGGAAACAGCCAGCAGAAAGGTAGAATTTCAGATACCTTTTCCCGTTTTCTGAAACGTAGATTATGTCAAACTATTAACTGGCACTTAGTGTTCATTGTTTTTGTAATTATAATTCATAATCTGTTGTAACATAGCATTCATTATCTGTTCGAAATAGCTAAGTGTCATTATATATGTTGCAACAAGGAAGTCACCTACTTTCGTTATTACATTAAAATCTCGCGGTGGGTTATATCACATCGACCTGAAGCTAATAACATAGATACAGTTACGAAAACATACTTCCATTGACTGGTTCACAGAGCTGAACAAAAGGCAGTCCCCAATTGTAATTTGGGTCGACGTATCCACTCAATCGTTCCTCCATTACCATGAGTTGTTCTGTACCGAACTACTGGTGGCTACGTGGAGAGGCGACATTGTGCACTGTCAGTGTTTACTGTAAGAGGGGGCTTGGGCATAAGGATTTCAGTGAAAAATAATGAGAGGTTATCACGCGAGTGTGTTTGGGGATGGTAAATATCCTTCATTAGGAATAAACATTGTATTTAGCGAGCCTTGGCGACCTAAATACATAGTGTTTATTCCTAATACAGGATATTTAACATCCCCAAACACACAAGCGTGATAACCTCTTTACCATATAATGTCATTCTTTAATTCTGTGCTTGAAAATAGCTTTCCCTCTCTCACAAACATTACCGAAACATTGTAAGTTTTCCTGGAATGCGTGCATTAATATTTATTACGTCACAGTGTAAGTAATGTGTCAAGCGGACTGTGACAGTAGCCAATAGAGCTCCAACTAACATCTGTTTCTTATACAGTGGCGAAGAAACATATACGCAAAACAATAAATGTTTTTACTTGCCTTTCGCGGCAATCCATCGGTCTGTCCGCTAGAGTAACTGCCCTTCGTCAAAGGGAAGCTACTCTAACCCTAGTCAATGAGACGTCACGGCCACGTTCAGACGCCTGTTGGTTACAGTAAACACTGACATTGCACAGTATCGCCTCTCCACGTAGCCAGAGTCGGTCTGTCCTGTCAACGTTAAGTACAGTAAGATGTACCCAGAGTGACAAAACGAAACAAGGTGACAATTCAAACATTTTTCGGCCAAATCCAACTACCGGTATTTTAATTTGTGGAAAAGGTTTCAAGCCGCAGAGGTCGACAAGCACAGATATGGCTACTGATCCCGCTTGGCTGGGCCTAGTGCCCTCGCAAAATTGTTTCGAAATTTATATCTCCAAAGTTGCCAAAACATTATCAAATGCCTTAGCTACGTCACAGTTAGACACGGATTTTCAGTTTATAAGACTGTTCTTTTGATAATGATAGCAATTATCCCTTTAGTTTATCCAGATTCCCAATGGTTAATTCTGACTCGATCGCCGAATGACAAGGGCGACGCCATGTGAGTTTGTAAACACTGAAAGTAGTCCCTACTTGACCTTTGATACTGCATCTCTATCCGCATATGACCCCAACGGATATCGTGTTTATATCCTGCCCAGAAACCTACCCATTACTAGTATATGATATATATATATATATATATATATATATATATATATATATATGAATTATCTCTCAGTTAGTGACTACGTCACCATATTTTGGTGATTTTATTGCACGAACAGAGAAAAGGATCAACATAGTATTGATGAGATGGCTATGGATTTAAACCTGAATTAGTATTAGATGAACAATGCTTACAACATGACACATAAGACATGGATGGGATGAATAACTTTGGTGTTAAAGTCACTGACATACACAAACATTTAAACCTATTTATCTCAAATGGTCATTTGGGAAAAGACAGACATATTGGTAAATAAATTGATACATCATTTCTTGATTATATTATTACATCACCATTGTCCATGCAACTTTATGAATTTACTCTGATGTTCACTGTCCAGTCGCTTCTCTGTCATTATACCCTACCAGAAACCAGATTTACAAAATCAGTCCTCTTAGTAATCCAACCATTGGTACTTTTGAGAGTAAGAAGCCCAAGTCGAAAATGTATCCACCATGTTTTGTCAGAATATCAACAGGCATCTTTAGCGTGAACTGACAGAGCGAGCACTTGAACCTGCGGAAATGATCAACGGCATGGCCCACGATATAGGACACACGCTTGTTGATGCTGCATGCTGCACCCAATCTGTACAACTGCCCACTGAGTGCATTGAGCAGGCCGTTTGCCCATTGCATGTATATGGCAATACAGCTTGCCCAGTGCATGCAATGTGCAAACAATTATCTGCTCATTGCATGCAATGGGCAATAGTTGTGAATAAAATATTTCTCCAAATATTTCAAAATATGTGCAGGTAATTGTTGTGCCCAAAGCACGCATTTAAAATTGGTATTATGTTACATGTTTACTAAGTGAATAAACTGTAATAAATAATAACTTGGTCATTTTGTTCAGACGTATTATTTTCGTGCCCTATTTTATTTGTGTTTTACAGTAGTTAAGAAACCATATAAATAGGAATTTATGATTTAATGTTGATGCATCTGTGTGTGAAAACAATCAGATCTCTGTCAAATAACTCGGTGAATATATCCTTATAAAATGGCTTTGTCCCTTTGACTTCTGTGAATAAGAATTTAAAACTCATACACGTAACTGTCCATTGCATGCATTGGACAAGCTATATTGCCCATTGCACGCATTGGGCAAACACCCTGCCCAATGCAGTCAGTGCGCAGTTGCGCATATTGGTTGTAACACATCCACTGCAGTTGGTGTTAGGTAGAATGTAAAACATGTGCTTACCATAAAAGGGACAAGCCGTGGTTTGACAAAGAATGTCGAATCCAGCGTAAAAAGTTTTAAAAAGCTAACAATAAAATGAGAAAATAAAATACGCCTTTAAATGAATCTTATTACTACCAAATGTCAAAGAACTGTAAAAAGTGTATTGATAAATGGATTAAAAGTTACTGAGATAATAAACATTTCGCCTTACGAGACACAACTCCAATCTTTATGTTAAATGGTGAATTTGGCAGGGAAGTATTACAGTTTTTAAACGTATAATTCCTTTTGGCTTAAGCTTACTTCTACAGAAGTGCATGATAAACCGTCCCAAACACTTTACAAATACATGTATACTATCCATAAAGAAGTTGAAAATATCCCATGTTTAGACTTTATTAAGACTGTATTAAATAACTGCAGTCTTTGATATGTATTTCAAAAACCCATCGGTATGTCCAACGCCATGGCTTGCTTCAACGGTTGAAAATATTTAGATCTCAATTCCTTCAGAACTTGAAATCCACTGTTCAATCAAGCTCCATAGGCCAGAACCAACCCTCATTTGAGAAATATCTGTTACTCTCAAAATCAATATTTCTCCCTGTGTTAATATTCAGAACTACTAACCATGGGCTGCCCGTTGAAACTGGTCGATGGCTGATCATGAACATTCCAGCGGCCACTCTGTGATTCAATCGCTGTGGGAGATGAGTTTTAGTATTTACTTTAGATGTGAGGCTTTTGTCCAACAGCGACATGAACCAATTTAAGAAACTTATAACTACCAACAGTGTAAGAGACCTAAAAGGCGCCAGTAAGGAATCTTAATTCCTTGACAATGCGTATAATACAATTGGTAAATTGTATTAGCATCAACGTATCCTATTTTCATTATTCTTATTAAATGCTGTCATTTTGTACATATTACTTTTTTTAATATATTGTCTCTCATGTAACACTGTGGCTGTTTTTTCTGAGAATAAATGAGTTGAGTTGAGTACCTTACTACCGGTGGCTACGTGGCGAGGCGAGGCGATAGTGCGTTATGCCAGTGTTTACTGTAGGAGGGCGTCGATGTACCCGTGAGTGATAAGGCAGGATATTTTACACGTAAAGGTGTAACAGACAGCCATGTTCAGCTTGTACTACGAAGAGGTTGGACGTGCCTCCCAGAACACCGATGATGTATGTACACAACACAATATCCACAATCAGAGATCAATATTACGAAATACCGGATTACAGGTAGGAATATGGGTACCCAGCAACCTAGTCATGTCGCGGGACATACAATTGATCAGTGTTAATAAATATTCCAGATACGAATATAGGTTAGCCAGCAGCCTAAGCATGTCGCATGTGGCGACTATTTGGATCGGGTGGTGTGGCTCAGTTGACTGAATGTCTTCATATCCTAATTTACATTGATCGATGCCTGTGATGTTAATCGCTGATTATTTACAAGCCGCCTCATGCAGCTGGGATATTGCAGAATGTGACCTTAAACAACATACAATGTCAGTCATTAATGTTCTTTATTTTTCCGATGACCAATGCAGTGAGTACATGTACACGACTGACGAGAGATAACTAAAATTATCATCATTCTATCGATAATCATTACATTTCCTATAAACACGTTTGGCTTCATATGTGCAAAAAATAATCATATGCAAATGGGTGTATACATTTAACACTTTTATGAGTCAAACTATAAAACTACTGCCTGTCAGTTTAACAGATGGCTACCGCCCGGCTGGGAAAGAAAGTAACGGATAATTTCCTGACGTGCTCCATCTGCTTCGAGACCTACACAGACCCGTGTACACTGACCTGCCACCACACTTTCTGTCAAAGATGTATCACCAAGTACATCCAAACCAGACCAGATGCTGTACATTCCAAGACAATCCCCTGTCCCTGCTGTCGACAAGATACCAAGGTCCCCAACCCCAGCAGGCCAGTGGAGGAGTGGGCGGGGCAGATCAAACCCAGCATCATTATACAGGGGCTGATTGACACCCTCAGGACCGAGGAACATGTGCCAGGTTAAGTGAAAGCAAGATGTAGATGTTCAACCAGTAGTACCATTGACATTCATATAGTCTTTTGTGTTTAATATTTATTAACAATTCTACCGTTAAGAACATTCAGGTTTTCTCATTTATTACTTTAAAACACGTTAAAAAAGTATTCAACAATTCGTATGAGAAACGTATAAGTGAGAAAAATTGTCTTCTCAGACTCTTTCCCGTTCATGAAACTTTCAGCTTCTGCTCAGAGACGATGAAGTTTTGAAACTTATTAAAAAGTCCAATCCCACCTCGTGTGTTCCTGGTACAGTTCTACCACAATAATCTTGGCCAATTCTTCTACCAGTATTTACAAACTTCAACACAAATCTGGTGTCATGCGTCATGCCATCAGTCTTCAAAGTAGCTATTGTCAAGCCACTGTTAAAGAACCCTGATGAACTTAACAACTACCAACCAGTATCAAACCAGGATCAAACCTATCCAAATGAATTGAACGTGCAGTTGGTGAAAGATTTCCAAGCATCTGTCTGGCAACAATCTCCATGAGCCTTACCAGTCTGCATATCGAAGCAATCACAGCACTGATACAGCTCTAATTAAGGTTCTTAATTACTTAAGAATCGCTATAGACAACAATAACGTTGGTTTACTGGTTCTGTTCGATGTAAGTGCTGCCTTTGATACCACTGACCACGATGGTCTTCTTGCACGCTTCAGAAATGAATTCAGGATTGAAGGAATAGCATGGCATTGATTTATCTTTCATTTCATATCAGTCAGTTCTTATTGATGGATGATCACTGACTGAGAAATTGCTGTTCAAGTGTGAGGTCCTGCAAGGTTCTGTGCTTTGACCAGTATTATTCACCGCATACACTAAGGAATTAGGTACACTCATTGCTAAGCACCAGATAAGTCGTCATTTCTATGCTGCTGACACGCAGCTCCATGATGTCTTCAAACCCACAACATCAGATGCAAATGCTACATTGTTGCGACTCGGCGAATGCTGCAGTAACATTATGTTATGGATAATGTTTGAAAACAAGCTGAAGCTTAATGACAGTAAAACCAAGTGTCTATTTGTTGGTCCAAAGGGTCCAAGAGGGCAATGTGGCACTGAATCATTTCAGTTCAGTGACACCACCATTCCCCTGTCAGCAGATGTATGAAATCGTGGTGCTACCCTAGATCCGGAATTGTCTCTCAACAAGCCTGTGTTTTTTTCATTCTAAGGAACATAGGGCACATCCGCAAATTTCTTACTCAGCAGTCATCTATCACACTTGTCTTTAGTTATGACAAGGTCTGACTACTGTAATAGCTTGCTGGTGGATGCAATAAGATCCCGGCTGCCAACTTACAACGAGTGCAGAACATAGCAGCCAGAATAGTTACTCACTCTCGCAAGACTGACCATATCACTCCTGTGTTATACAACTGGCTTCCAGCTGAACACAGGATAACGTTCAAGATTATCTTTTATGTCTTCAGATGTCTCATGGGACAAGCTCCATCCCATCTTGCTGATCTCCTTCATGTGTATGTCCCAGGAAGATCCCTCCGCTCAGAGAATAAGAATTTGCTCTTCATACTAAGTGTCCAGACATCACACTATGGCAAACGTTCCTTTGCATACTTAGTGGCCATTGCCCGGAACCATCTACCACAACAGTGAACTGACTACTTTCCGCTCACAACTCAAATCCTATCGCTTTAGACTTTCTGTCTCCAAATGACTTCTTATTAGCCTGCACTATGCATGGATATATCCGCCCTACAATGGAATATTATTATTACCTTTACTAACAGAAGAAATAAACAATGCAGCAAAGAGGGTTTGGGTGATCCTGGCACAGTCAGGCTGCTTAGGCTCATCATCATCTCTGGGCCCTTCCCCCTCTACATGCAGCCCAGACAGCGAATGGGACTTCTCCCAGGAAGCGCTACCTAGTGAAGCCCACCCAGAACTCTTCAGAGAATGTGAAGACTCCCCAACACTGCTACCTTCTACATTACCCACACATTACATTATTCCTGGTAGCAAACCTGAATACTCTCTCAATGTCAGTCAACAGATTGGGCGTTACCAATCCCAAGGCACCGAGAACCACTGGGAGTTGGACAACTTGGTACTTGGGATGCAAGCGTGACATTTCGAAAGAGAGGTCTGCATATTTGTCTTGTTTTTGTGTCAAAAGGGACAGAAAATTCAATAATATAAATGATTTCACTGGATTTATCAAAAAGTACAAGATCAGGTTTGTTGGCCTGGATATTTCTGAGGATGTAAACGGGCCTATTCAAAAGAATTTTGTATTTATCCTTTTCTATGACGCCCATGGGGCGTACCATGGATGGACCTCTGTGTGAAAACCGAAATTAAATGATCGAGCCGCTCCATCTTGTCACTTAAGATACTGTGTTTGTGCCAAAGCTGGGCATCCACTGACAAAGTGTTGGATAGTCTCTTTTAATTCATTACAAAATCTACATTTCACATTTACATTTTAATGCAAAATCACACATTGACGGTTTCGAGTGGGAAGTGACTGATCCTGAGCAGCCAAAAAAAAGCCTTCAGTTTCACTTCTCAGGCCAACCGACTTCATCCAAGCAAAGGACTCCTTCTTAACACAATGCACATAGACTCGATGCAGTGGTCGTTCAGATAACCTCTCTTTGAAAACCTGAGTCTAAGCCGATTTGATATGGCACCTCGCTTGGTTGACACTCATTTCTGTACCGTCCAGCAGTACAGAACAATCAACAAAATCCACTTTGACATTGAGAATATGTCCTACATCCTTGGCTCGTTTACCAAAACTGAGAAATGCCTTGCTTTCATCATGAGTCTTGACATGCTTCACAAGAGGATTATCAGACAAAAAGACAATTCTATCCTGAAGAGCCCCAACGTTTATCAAACCACGCCCTCCCATTATGATTGGTAAAAATAAGCGATTGAAGGAAGAGCGGGGATGGTGGGATCTATTGTCTGACATGATTCTTCGTATGAGGGTGTCAATACCCTGAATTTCTTGTTTTGACCAATCAACAACACCAAAAGAATACAAAAGGACGGGTACAGCACAAGTATTTGTGGCTTAGACTTTATTGCTAGCGTTCAGCCCTGAACTTCAGATTTTCATAAGTCTACATTTGTACTCTTCCCAATGTTTGTCCTTGCTTTGGGCACTCTGGAGTTTGTCCCTAACCTGCATTCCGAAGTACGTATAGGCCTGACCTTCCACGTGATGGTCAATAACTCCTCCCCTAAGTAAACTGACTGATCCTCCCACTTCTACCATGTCACGTTTCAGATGAAGAATGTTAATATCATTAGAAAAGGACTCGACCAGTTAGAATCGTTTTTTCTAGTGTGAATCCTCCACTGGCAATCAGTTGAAGGTCATATATGGAAAGGAGGGTGAGCAAGGGATGTTGGGGATCTGTGCTGAGGAGGTCCCGGATGATGACCTTCCTCTTTGCTGAGAAAAAAGCCTAAAGGATTAAGTGACAAGCAGAAAACCAAAGGACTAAAAGAATCGCCCTGAAATATTCCTCTTCTAACAGGAATGGGTTCCCACCTGCCACTACGAATACATCTCAAGTTGAGTTGTCCAGCAATTCATTAAAGACTTGAGTAAAACTAGTAGTCTCTCAGGGAAGTCAATACATTCCAGTGACTTTAAAATCCATTCATCAGGTACAGAATCATAAGCTTTTCTGTATTCTATCCAACACATTTTGAGATTACGGTGGTAAGTCTCAGCCTCAGTAACAGTTTCTTACAACCCCAGCATCCCTTTCTGGCTCCTTTCTGCTCGATGTAAAAAATGTCATTGGAAGCGTAGTATGATGACACAAGATCTGTGAGACACCTGCTGAATATTTTGTACTGTGTATTAGACAAGTTATAGGGCGGAAGTTTTTAGGGTCAGTCAAATTTCAAATTTCTTTGGGATAAGTATTGTTCGACCTATGCAGAACCAAGGCGGAGCACCCCCTGTATCCACAAGAGAAGTAATGGTGTTTGGACAGTGGACATTAGATTTGGACAATTTGTTTTGTTTTATGAAAATATTTTTCTTGTCCCACTTTCTGTTTCTCTCTGTCCAAACCTTAACTTCGTTTTAAGAGAATCAAGAATTTGATTAAGAATCTTCTCTTTTGTTGTCTTGTATTTTGTTTTTAAAGTTTTCCAAATGGGGTCTTTTGTTTTGACATTGATTGCCCCGATGAACGTAATTCTAAGCAAAGTTCTATCCAGGATATGTCTTTCTTTGTTTCATTTAGATTTATTTGGAACCGGTTTTTCTTTGGATGATTTTGTTTTTTGCACTTTTGTGGTTCATTGTTTTTGGAAACTGAATCGAGTTCCTCCAGTGTTCGAGCAGCAGCATACCCACAACAGTTAATGTCATGCACAGAACAGTCCGCATTAAGAGTGACAGAAATAATGTTATTTAATATATCAAGTTGATTTTGTGGACATGATTGTTAAATTGTTTAATTGGCCTCCATTTCTCAATCGGTAAATCACAGATTTGATTATAAAATGACATAAACACAATATATAAGCCATGCTAAGAAAGATCATTAGTTGGTTGGTTGGTTTGTAGTTTAACGCCGCTCTCAGTAATATTCCAGCTATATGTCTGTAAATAATCGAGTCTGGACCAGACAATCCAGCGATTGAGATCATGAGCATCGATCCACGCAATTGGGATCGATGACATGCTTCAACCAAATCAGCGAGCCTGACCACCCGATTCCGTTGACCGCCAAGCATTGTCGCCTTTTAGGGCAAGCATGGGTTGCTGAAGAGAAAGATCATGGACAGAAGAGGGGTCGGAATCGGAAGAAAACTCAAAATCTTCGAGGCCACAATCAGGAATTTCATTTTGTGAGCCCAAGTGTTGGTCATCAGTGACAAGTGCATCAGGTAATTTAGGGAGAATAATGCGAACGTTCATCTGCAATTTCGGGTCTGCTACTGTTGTACCTGAGGGTTCATGCAAAGGCGCCTGACGATTGTTGGCAGTTTGGCCACCCTGTTGCTTGCGCACATTCTAGAAGTGTGGACTTCAGTTGTTGCGTCCAAGATATTCTTGGACGGGTTCTGTGCCTCCCCCTGAGGCACGTCCCACCTCCAGCTTGGTTGGTTGGTATACTGGAGGAAGGCTGACTGGGCTGCGGAGTTAAAAGATCAATTTTTCCATGGCTTTCTATAACCCGGTTTTGAACCCGTTTCGGGTAGTTAGCCCTACCTGGGTGATGTACGTTTAGTTCAGGGGAACAGATCCTCCCTATCTAGGCCCACCACGGAGAGGCGTACATCATCAGGCCCTTATTATTATTATTATTATTATTATTATTATTATTACAAACAACTGAGAAGTAACCATACTAGTGTTAGATTAGAAATTGTGGGCCAGACAATCCAGTGACATGCGTTTACTGATTTCTTTCTAAAACTTAAAGCACCATGTTAACGCGTACGAATATAGATGTTCTGCTGATTACACATGAAGATAAGCACTTTAGAAATATGTGAAACACGTGAATTTATTATGCTTGATCGCTTGTGTTTATGGAACAAATATCACATTCAATTGAAATATGAAATCCAGTTTGATTGTTTATTTTTAAAGTTTTAATGCACTTAAAATAGAGTCTGCATACAAACTTAGCAATTCAATTTTGTGATGTTTTAGCAAGAATATGTTTGAAATTTTGTTTAATTCCGCTACAACCGATTCATAAGAAATTGTAGCAGGAAATTGTTCATCAAGTTCAAAGGTTTATTTTGTTTAATTGATTAACCTTAAAACGAAGCCTGATTGCAAACTTAGTGTTTCCATATTATGTTAGTATACATTTGTACTTCTCTTCACAGAGACGTCAAGCACCTGTTGTACGATCTGTCAGCAAATAGGGGAGACAACTCCAGGTGCTATGTGGTGTCCTGAGTGTGAAGTGGCCCTCTGTGACAGATGTGTGAAGACACACCGGGTGAGCCCTACGTCACAGGACCATGATCTGTGTGACCTGTCATCTAGGTCAAAGGACAGACGGAGGGTCAAGTGTACAGAGCACAAGAGTAACAATGTAGAGTTCCACTGTAAAGACTGTCAGAGTGAGTGAGTTTGGTTTTACGCCGCTTTTAGCAATATTCCAGCAATATCACGGCGGGGAACACCAGAAATGGGCTTCACACATTGTACCCATGTCGGGGATCGAACCCGGGTCTTCGGCGTGACGAGCGAACGCTTCAACCACTAGGCTACCCGACCGCCCCAAAGACTGTCAGAAGGCTGCATGTCAGACATGTTATATCACCTACCACAGAGCTTGTAAAACTGTCGTCACCATTGAGTCTATGAAGCCAGAGATGGAGGCAGCACTGCTGGAGAAGAGATTTGACATGGGGAAGAGACTGAAAGTGAGGTCGAAGAAAGTAGAGATGAAAAATAAGAAACTCAAGACTATTTTTAGAGTTAAAGAGTCAGCTGTACAACATATTAGGTCTATATGTCAGACAACTATAAACAAGATTAAACAGAAAGAAACACAACTCTTGGATGAACAGAATACCATTACACAGACGTACGCCGGCCAACTCCGTTCTGGTTTGAAGCTTGAAGAGATTGAGATGCATATGTACAGACAACATTGTGAGTTCATTGACCAGGCCTTGGTATCGGACTGTGTGATGAACCTGTATGACGCGTATCAGGCCTTGGAGTCGGGAGCTATAGAGCTGGGGGATGTCAGGGACACAGACACAGTAGACACACGGAGAATAGACGACGTCAGGTTTACATCAAACGCTGAGCATGTCCAGCACATCATAGATAACCTACATCTGGGAAAGATTCACGTCACATATCAGGATCAGACGAAATGTCTGTTGTCGCCTGTGCTAGTTGGAATTAAAGACGGGAGGATGGCGGGTGATGAGAAAGAGGCTGATCTACGCGACGTCACAGTCCTGGTTGTAGACGGTACACAGACTGCTGTGGTTACCGACATGAAGAATGAGTGTGTAAAATCTTTCTACACAACAAACAACCAGCGATGTCAAAGTAAACTTCCCCTGGGTGACCTTCCATGTGGTGTAACACAGTTGAAGGAGAAACAGGTTATGGTTGCTGTCCCTGGATCCCATCAGATTGTAACAGTAAAAGTGACCCCTGACCTGGCCCTGCTCTCGTCCTTCACAACAAATAAGGTGTATTACAGTCTCGCTGTTCTTAATCCTTCCTGCCTAGCAGCAGGTGGATACGGCGTTGTTGATATCCTGGACATGGCGGGGCATGTGCTGAGGACACTCACTAAACGCAACAAGACCCTGTTTACTTTCCCCTACTACATGTGTGTCAACAGCAAGGGCAACATACTCGTGTCTGACGAGAGGAAGAAGTCTGTTACATGTCTAACGTCAGAAGGTGATGTTGTGTTCAAATACGCACCTACCGGAGACAGAGCGCTCAGCTTGCCTCGTGGCATCACAACTACCAGCAAAGGAGACATTCTGCTTGTAGACAGGAGCACCAATGAAATGATTCAGCTGACAGAGTCGGGGGAGTTAGTTGGAGATGTTCTCAAGTCAAAAGACGTGTGTGATGTATTCTGCGATAAATACGGATTCTTCTTTCTGTGTACAAAAACGGATGTGAGAGAGTATATGTTAGTGTGATAGAAAAAACAAAACAATCATGGATTGTGCATGAGGTTATTCTGAAAAGGTTATAAGTAAATTTATGTAAAGAGAATAGATCGAGTAAAAGAGTAGAATACATAATAAAAACAGTCTTGGGTATCACTTTTTCAGTCAAGCCGACATACGATATTCAAATAGGTTACTTCCTGCAATGAATAATCCACGTGATCACAAGGTGAAAGACACCACTAGTGACAGTTGTTATAGAGATACTTGTGGTGACATCGGCCACAGAAGGTTAACTTGGTCTAACCGTAATGCTATGATTTATACTACCTGAAGTATAAACGTCCTGAGCACAAATTTAGCGAAAAAGAGGTCCCAAGAAAAAACATAGCACACTGCTCAAGGCATGCACGAGACGCTGGCAACACACACACACACACACACACACACACACACACACACACACACACACACACACACACTGAGGCTGTGATGGGTATTCGGTTATGCCAAACGTCATTGAAAGTCTGTCTGTACTTATTGTCATCTAGAATAGCATGGTAAGCATTGGGTATCAAGCCCTTCATCCAATTTCTTTATGCGAATTTTAAATCATTTATGTCCTTTTTTGTACGAATATACGCAGGAGGAAAGTAACTCTGCATATAGCTTTGTATTGCCTCCTCACTGTACAACCCCTACCGAGCTAGTGCAGCAGACAATACAGTGCACCACCAAGGAAACCCCCAAATCCCCTTCAACAATCTGCACCCTTTGTCATCAGCCTTTTGGAACTGCCAGCCATACAATTCAGAGACTCTAAAAGAAGTGGGCCAACATTGACGCCATCAAAGCCAAAGGAAAACCGCCAAACAGCCAACAACAAGAACCATCAGGGGCTGTGTACCACATTCCGTGTAATTGTGGACATGCCTACATTGGCAAAACGTCAAGGCTCCCCAAAACCCGAATTAAAGAACATCAGAGCTCAGTGTCCAAAGTTGACTCTAAATCCCCTTTATCAGACCATATCACCCCATCCACAGCATCCAGTGGGACCAAATCAAAACCCTTACAATCAACCTCAAAGACTTCAAAGATTTGAAAATTCCAAGAAGCAATCCTCATCAACAGACTCCAACTTGTAATAAACTGTGATCGAGGCTGTTACAGACCTTTTGCCTTCGTAACTCATTAAAATAGTGAATCAGTCGTAATCCCCTTGTATATGTAACTGGTTTCAGCCCCTTGTTTATGTTACTGACATTTTTAGCCGCTTGTGTACATAACAGGCTTCTCAACGCGACTGAAACCACACATTAACGTTTTGATCTGTGAACCTATTTTAACATATCCTATGCAACATATAACTCTGTTCTCGTGTCAACCAACGTTAGAGTTTTGTAAATCTAACTTGTAGATGAATGAGTGAGTTGGTAATTAATTAAAATATGATTTAATGCTGCGTTGAACAGTTTTCAGTTATACTATGGCGTGGTCTAAAGATGAAAAAGAAACGCAATAACATGGACAGCGAATGAGGTTGTGTGTCAATGCGTTTTTAACAATATCTAATTCCACTCCTACAGTGAATGGTGATTGATAAACAGGCAAAGCCTATATATATATATACTTCAGTATCTCCCCATTAAAGTTCGAACAAGGATAAGTAGTATATATGTCATACAGCAGTATGAACTTGAAATTATGTCACATGAGGTATATCAGATGTAAACAGTTATTGGTGAGAAATATTTGCGTGCATGTTCATAGAAATCTTTAACTCATTGTGAAGAATCAAACAAGCATATATTCCATTGTACATCACAGACAATATCATTGGTGAATACTTAAAATAATAAGGGTCCTAACAGTGAACCTTGAGGGACACAGGCAAATACAGGTTTAACATTCGATTGATGTCCATTAATAACTTTTATTGCTTTCTAACAGATAAGTAACTTTGGAACCATTTTAAAAGAACCCCTTTTATTCCACACATGCTTAATTCCTATCACAAACCTTTGTGCAAAACACGATCGAATGCTTTACTTATGTCACAGAATATTGCCATCTCTTCCTGTCCATCATCGAAGGCCTTGCCTGTGAAATCATAAAGATGAGTCAGTTATTGTCAATGTGACGAACTCTATTACTGTCATGGTTTCACTATTTCTGTCAATTCCTGAACACCAATGTATTTATCATCCGAGAGTTATTGCTTGGACAGGATCGCAAATCTTGGATACCAATCTGAGATATTGTCAGTCCAGACTAAGAACCATCTTTCAAGTGGTGAGAATTATCCTCCTTTACAGTAATTATGAAGTATGGGACTTGCAGGTAATTATCTATTGTTCAAAGTCTGTTTCCATGTTTTGCTTTACTTGAAATATCTTGTTTACATAGAATCTATTTTTGAAAAAAAATAAAGTATATATTTAAGGAGGCCAACTTTTCCATAAAATCTTTCACACATAAATCATGACAGGCACACAATTTTTAGATTTAGATCTTACGCACCAAACTGGAATGTACGTGCGTACGTGTTGTTTAACACTGCACTGAGACCACCAGACAATGTAGCGATTGATATTATTAACTCTATAAAGGAAATACGGGGTTTAACCGACCTGGAGATTACCGACAGTTAGAATATAACCCAACTCTGCATGCATGCCCCATGCGAACACACACCAAGAGGGAACACAAATGTACCAAACTATATATCAGGCTCCACAAAAGAGACGTATAGACATTCCAGATTAAGCGTTTGTTTATCATGAAATAAGCAAATAGTCAGCAATGATACAGAGTCATTATGCACTTTCAATGAAATTACAGAACATACGAGGACAAGAAGGACATGGGGGTATATTGTCAGTTAGAAGTGACTGTAAACACAATATAGTTGAGATAAAAGCCACTCTTCATGAAAAAAAATTGCAATGATCATAGTCCATTAGACGTCAGAGTCATTCAATATTCGGCGCCTCCGAACCCCATTCCACCTCGACGGTGATACATGTTAACACTGTGGCATGGTATCTCATTCAGCCATCACTATGAAACCGGCTATCGTCCAGAGTAGCATGACTATAAATTGACTGATTTAAGGCATTGACTACAACATGTGAAGGCGAGATTTAAAGTTTACACACACAGATATTGTGTCGCGTGAAATGCTGTCTGTCCTTGGAGGACTCAGTAGTGACAGAGACAGTAGTGACATGAACAAGTGAATGGTATATGATAATACTCTGACGGAAACATATCACAACAGGGAACAGTATATCGCCACATGTTAAAGCACGTGATGTATCAGTCACAAGTCCAAAGTGCTACATCAAAGCTATCGAAGTGTTATAGAAGAGACAGATGTATTTCGCGTCAACCGTTGGGGTAATGCTTCTTTAAAACAATGTATGTTGTTTATGTGCGAATTTGAAATGTTTGATACCGGCAGTGATTGATGAAACATGATGTTGTCGATATTTTCTTGCCAGGCGTGGAAACATTTAAGAACTGACTTTCACTTTGTTTGAGTTCATTGGAGTATGAACCACCATATAGAGTGAAGGCCAAACTGTATGAACGTCTAAGCTTTTAAGCTTCATACAATGTTGTCCCTCACTCTATATGAAGGTTCATCCTGCAATGAACTCACAAAAGTGAAAGTCAATTCTTATAATTTTTTGTGTCACTATTTTGTACCTAAAAGGATCTAGATCTATACGCAACATTTTGTATGACTTCATGTTTACACTGATAGCCATACAACAACCAGCTGTATCGCGGCAAAAAAATGGTTCCTCAAAATGTGAGGTGACATGAACATATGTATGCTCCACATGCTCTACAGGAAAAACATTTGTAGTTTCTTTACAACAAATGTATATCCTCATTAGATGAGAAATGCCTGTTAAGAAATACCTCAGTAAGTCAATAACAATGACAGTGCGTCGTAATACATTTACATCAAGTACAAAACGTCAAAATGGCCGACACGATAAACGTGACGGGAGAGATTTCGGAAGTTGCTAATGAACCTGTGGCGGTTACATGTTTGAGTCATCATTGTTCAGCTGGTCGATCATTGAAAGGTGATTAAAGATGTGTTAATTAGACAGTAAGGTGAATTCATAGATTGTGGTAGACTCACTATCATCCTAGACACGGATCGAGTCGATACTACGATAGTTTGGTTGTGCATTTCTTCGTTTTGTTTACTATAGGTTCGATCGTAGCGGGGATATTCTTAAACGATCATGCAGTCAAAATCTCTGACGTTTCTCGATGTACACTGAAAGGCTGAGATCAAGATTAAAGGGTCTAAATGTAAAGAAAGAACGCTTCTGTATGTATTCGTGCCAGGGAATTCCCCGCGTTTTCCCAGGAATGTGGAAGTAGTCCGTTAATCTTTACGTCATTTCAAGCACACGGTCTCGTGAAAAACGTATGAACGTCAAATTGCGTCGTTCATACACTTATGAACGACAATTTCGCGGTCATGTGACCGACTTCTCGTCCAATGGAAAAGTTGTATATCGTGTATATATCAAATTAAAAAATTATTAATTTTTAACATTCAATGTTGTAACAGAGAATAGGTAATTGGATTGGCTGACCAGACTTTCGTGTTACTAAACAGTCTGCAGTCATTCGAAAAATATACTGTACCTCAAGCAAATGGTCACATATTTCTAGCGTCGCTGAAGAGAGACATTTATCATCGAAAAAGAATGGATTCTCTCTTTTACGGATAGTTCTATAAGGCACATGAGACTGTAGACGACACACTGAACCGTTAATACTGATCTCCTTTTGGGCACATATATTGGCGCAATTATTAATGCGTATTACTGTCATTACTTTTGATCATTTAACATCCATCATCCACATCCAAATATTTCCTGCACATCCCGAATGACTGATCACGGAAATGGGCGAGCAATGCCGATCGCTGTTATCAATGCATTGACCCAGTCAGTAAAAACGTAGATTTACCAGTATTCACATAGCTTAAGACAACACGTTTTTGAACTGGGATATTGCTTTTTATCATTGAACATAAGCCATTACTGCTGTAGAAGGAAGTAACGTGTTGTACTTTCGTTATGACATTCGACCTGGACTTTGGGTGTCTGATTATCCTGTGATAGCAATGTTTACGCCCACCAGCTAGAGAGCAGAACATTCAGACAAACAGGCATGACACGGCGATGTTTTCAACTGTAGTCAACCCTGAAGGTAGGTACGACAATGTACACGAATGTCTCTATGTGCGTACAGTGATGTTTATTGCCTTTATTCTACATGACATTATTTTACTGTAATACAGTCAAGTCCCGTTAACCCGGTTATGTCGGATAAACGAAATTAAGTAATATCAACGTTCGTGATCGAAAATCTACACGATAGATAACGATACAAACACGTAATAAAAAAATAAAAATTAAATATTCATATTGTTATATTACATTGTTAGCGGAATATTTTTTCTAATCATGAAACCTCTAAAGCTCAACACAAAACAAATGTTACGGACTGTCTGACTTATTCAGAATACTTTAAAAAGCTTAGTCTGGAATGGAAGTCGCAACTTTGAGTATATATACTTGTTTCCATCTTCGTTTGCAAATGCGAGTAAACCTGTACCCTTTTATAAGGCAAGTTCAATTAAACCATTGTTGTTTTTATAGAGTAATATGAAATATATAATGTTTGAAAATAAAAATGTATAATACTCCATTATAATTTAAAGGCTAGGAAATAAAGTGAATGACATCGATATGGCGGCAAGGTCGAAGTCAAGATAGTGTTTCCCGTAACCGTTGTACCCGGTGTAGATCAGTAATAGGAGACATGTACTGTAACGAACAAAGTGAAAATTACAGTATTCAAAACTATTATTTAGGAACTTTAATTACGTTTTCAGTTAGGTCCTGATATAATCGAACAATCCTGGACCCGTATGTGAAGAGGAATACAGTTTGTATGCTTGCACTCGTGCAACCACAGATGTATTTAGAAAAGAAAATGCAATCTTCAACAAAAAGAGTTTTCTTAAACTTTATTCTGAATGTATTATCAATGATATAACGTCAACTCAACGAGTATATAAAGTCGACGGAAGACAACTACTTACTGGAGAGGTGAATTCACCATCAATAAAAGAGCAGATGATCATAACGAATTTTATAAACCATTAAAATAAATAGAAGCTTACAAACAACTGTTTTTGCCACATTTGGACACAATCCAAAACTGCTCTTTGGGTTAACCATCGTTAGATTTGGGCCTAGTATCGTCGCAAGACAAATGGGCCTTCTTTGTCTAACACTGGCCCATCACGTCCGTTACAAAAGCAGGGGCTTTCCAAATACATTTCCCTGCAAAAATGTAATGTTGTCCTTACAAACATCAATGTTTTTTTAATTTGTGAGACCAGGTACTATTTTATTCTGGCATAATTAAGAAAATCAGACCACCTGACAGATTTTAATTTCCAATAACATTTAGCTGCCAAAGATGATGATACTAGTAAGAGGTCAAGAGGAGAAATGTCCATCTGCCAAGGTCATCTCGGGTCATTTCAACAGTTTTGAACGAACAAAGTCTTTTGTAAGAATTCAAAAACAACTGAACCATTGCCGGTTTGTAGTCAATTCTTGCTGTGATCATTCCAGACGAGTGCAGGCTTTGTTTACAGTTACACTGCTGAAACTATATTTTTTCAAAATGCCGTTGTATATTTTAAATATATTTAGGAGAGAAGCTTCTAAAAAAGTAACTTCGTAAATATGTGATTAGACGAAAATTAAACGGCTGAACTTTTAACGCGAAAACATTGTATTCGCGAGTGTGTTCAGACGCAGGCCTGTTATTGTAGTTTTACCCGCTTGGCTCACATTCACGGCCGAGTCTTCTTTGTGGTTACGGACAGGGGCGAGTTTTTGCGATTTACTAGCCGAGTGATCGGTCACGGAAAAGGACGAGTTTATCTGAGGGCGGCAATCCACACCTTAACGCAAAGCCAGCAGAAAGGCCGATATTAAGTTACCTCTTGTCGTTTTCTGAAAAGCAGATCATGTCAAACTGTTACTGAGCATTCACTGTTTCTATAATACATAATCTGCTGGAGATATCTGAGTGACAAAACGCCTTGAAATCGATGCCTGTTGTAACAAGACGTTATCACATCATTCCACTCTATTACAACAGAGAGTTGAGAAGCTACCTGAATTTTACAATTACTCAAATATATTGACATTGACCGGTTACATAATATAAATAAAAGGCAATCCCCAGTTGTAATTTCGGTGAACGTATCCACTCAATTGTTCCTCGATTACTATAGGTCCTATACCTAACTAGTGGTGGCTACGTGCCGAGACGATAGTGTGCTCTGCCAGTGTTGATTGTAAAAGGGGGTCGAGGTTACTCTTGAGTGAATAGATAACACGTATATATAGGCGCCGAGTCGGGCGGTGCAGATATGTCCTCGATAGGTTCAAGTATTTGGAAGGAAGGGCAGTAATTACAGAAACTCATGCTAGAAACACAGGCAATCATTGCAATGAGAGTGAGATTGCAGCACTAAAGCCCACTGACACACAATCTCATTAAAATCAGATCTTAGTTCTCGCTATCGCTAAACAAAGATCTGAGGACATCCCATTACGGGTCACGTCAGAACGACCTTTCATCGGACCAATCAAAGCGTCGCTTACCATATCAAGAAAGTGATGTGTTTTCTAATCATGCAACCTCGAAAACGTTAACATGGGGTATTCCGAACGACAGTTACGACCCGTTTGAATGATTCCGTTAAAATGATCGTCTGTCTCGCTTCCTTGGGATAAACATTTGAACAGAGGAGGCGTTGCACAGTTCGTGGGAAGCACTGCCATACAATCACAACTATATATTAGACATTCCGGAATGTTCGTCTGTTCAGTTTTTAAATTTCAATAGAGAAATGTGTCAACATATTTTTCAAGCGTAGTCTGAAATGGAAGTAGTCTGAAAATAGTGCCGCAAAGCTCGAGAAAGCTGCTTTATAATTGGCTGATGTCGACTTCTTGTTAGTCGTTTCAGTGGGAGGTCAAAGTTCCCGAAAGGTCGTTCTGACTATAGGATGTCCGCAGATCTTTGTTTAGCGGCAGCGAGAACTTAGATCTGATTTTAATGAGATTGACTGAAGCACTGTGTGCATATGACCACATATATGCAAACTGGAGTGCATACACTATCGGATCAGTGCCAAAATGTCCTTCAATATCCGTGACGTCGCAGTCCTGGTTGTAGACGGTGTACAGACAGTTGTAGTCACTGACGGGGACAATCACTGCATAACATCGTTCTACACCAGAAAAAAGACGCCACGTTTCAGTACGGGTCGTGTGAAACAATCTCCATGGGGTGTAACACAGCTGAAAGAGAAGCAGGTGCTGGTTGATGTCCCCGAATCATGTGAAATTGTAACAGTGGGTGTCAGCCCTGGCCTGGCGCTGCTATCAACCATCACAACACGTACTGGGTACTACAGTCTCGCTGTTCTGAGTCCTTCATCTCCAGCAGCAAGTACAGACTATTGTGTTGATATCCTGGATATGTCGGGGCTCGTGTTGAGGTCAGTTAATGCATACAACAATATGCGACTATTTACCTACCCCGACTACATGTGTGTCAACAACAAGGGCAACATAGTCGTGTCTGACTGGGAGAACAAGTCTGTGACATGTCTAACATCAGAGGGGGATGTTGTGTGGAGATACGCCCCTACCGGAGACAGAGCTCTCGGTGTTCCTCATGGAATTTCCACTGCCAGGACGGGAGACATACTTCTGGTGGACAGTAATTCCAACAAGGTCATACAACTGACAGAGACGGGAGAGTTTGTCAGAGACCTGCTCACGTCAGACGGTAACGTGTCTGGCCTGAAGAGTATTTTCTGTCATGCACGCGAATCCTTCTTTATCTGTTGTAATGCTGAAGTGAAGGAGTACAAATGTAGTCGATACTAATTCGGTCGTGCTACAACGTGAGACCAAGACAACTGACAAAAAACAAGGTTTAGTCGAGATCCAGGTCCAAGCAGGATGATAAGTATCCGCTCAACAAACCAAGTCCTCAACAGGATTGTGGACGATAACAATAGTAATTAGTGTCAGAGTATAAAACGAAAACTATTGAAACTCACAAGGTACATGTTCCATGTCACAACGTTTAGCTTACTAAATATATATATACAATTACTCTCTGTAAAATAGTAGTATATGAAGCATAAATAAAGATGACACTACAATTCCGACCAAACCCATAATGGTATTGCAGTGTTGGAGGACTGTTGTGAGAGACATGATGTTATTTCTTCAGGGCACGCAATTTTGTTTGGAAAGGAGAATCCGAACAATTTATTTTTTCACAATGCTTTTTTTTCAGGACACACAGAGAACAATTTTTTGTGATAAAATCTGATAAATAATTACTTCTTTAACATTTATTCAAATGGTTCAAGAATTTGTCTTCAAAATGCATCCTCTTTTTCTTTGTTTCTGAAAAACCATGTCGTTTTATTCGTCATAATGGGCTGCGAGGTCGTTATACGTAATAATCACGTCATTGATAATTATTGGTTTTATACTATGTCCATGCACGCAAGTCGCAAATTGTTTGCCTGGCTTCATTATCTGTATGTTATTTACCTGTGTTTATCATCTATGTAGTAGTTACCTGTATTCATCATCTTTGTAGTATTTACCTGTATCCATTTTCTGTCTACTATCTATATTCCCTATCTGTGTAGTATTTACCTGGCTTTGTCATATATGTAGTATGTGCCTAACTTCGTCATATATGTGAAAAAGTGATATATTTGATGAATAAAGTGGACACAAATATTCGTACCAACCATTTGATATTCTCTGAGTGTTTATTCAGAGGTTTCATTTTCTAAAAAAACCATTTTAACTCTTTTCATTAAATATTTAGTAATCGTCAAGGTTTACCTGTTGTCCTCGTATAATTATTCAACATTTACTTGGTTTAATTGTGTATGTGTGTCTCATTTATCAAATGAGGCGCGTTGTGTTCTGATGGAGACAGTGGCACAACGTTCATGCTTTACTGTGGTACTAATAGTTCGTTTATTTCCGGAACAACTGAATGAATGGTTACAGGCGCCGTCATACACACCATGTAACAGAATGGTAGATTTTGTAAACCTTTTAGCCTTTGTCATTCCAATATGGTGATTGTGTAATTGCCGTTAGGCGTTTCCGTTTTCTTATTTTAATCATATATCATTATTCAATGCCGTCAGAAAACATCTTGAAAGAGCTGTCACTGGTTGTTATTGTATAACTGTCTCTGGTACTGCTGCTTCCATCCATACACCTTTGCCACACCTGACGGTAATCGCACAACAGTGACATGAATGGTGACAAACACACGCATGACATTGGTTTAGTGACAGCACTCAGTAATGCTTAAAAAATATTTTCCTTCTCGACTGAAAGTCAAATTGTGTCAAGTATGAGTGAAGCGATCTTATTCCCTTGTGTGTATGTGGCGGTGGGGTGAAATGGGGTTAACGTCTAGTTCAAGGTTTGTTCACCTAGACAGCCACGAGCATTGTCCTGTGTGTGGCTGCTTTAACTAGTCCACATTTATGTCGGTTTTATCGTGCTAGCCCACTGAGATACCATGCCTCAGTTTAACATGGACACCACCGTATTATATTCACTCCGACCTTCCGCTCTCCAAGCAGATGCTCTATCCACTAGACCACGGAGGCAGTTCAAGGCGTGTATACAATGAAGAACATAAGGGCGTGCATCTAAGGCAGTGAGGAGACATGTGTGGGCGTTCTGTATAAAAAGGCTTGGCTTGGTCTATTTGAAATTCTTATCAAGTTTGGTTTGCATTCGTTAACTGAAAGTTTCTTATTCTTATCAGTGTACAATTAACATATGATAATACATACTTGAACAGTTTGTCACTCCTTCACCCAAACACTTAACAGGTCTATACCGAAAGGACGAAATGTTGTTTCCTTTACTGATTGAATTCAGAATTGAAGATCGACTGCGCAGAATCATGACTCAAATGAGGTGAGGTGAGGTGAAATTGGGTTTAACGTCGTGTCCAAGATTATATCACTTATATAGCGACGTGCATGCACGCGTCTGTGTGTGTGTGTGTGTGTGTGTGTGTGGCTACTTGTACTAGTCCGGACTGATGCCGCTTTATAGTGCTAGCACACTGAGATACCATGCCGCAGTTTAACAGGAATACCCCACTCAGACACAGTATACTGACTCCGAGCCGACCAGTCCTTGTTTTAGCCCCTTAATGCCGAGCGCCAGACAGGGTAACAACAAGTAACATCTTTTAATGTATTTTGGTATGACGCGGCCGGTGTTCAAACCCCGGACCTTCCACACTCCGCTTATAGTGTGCTGGGCGTATTTCCAACGGTTTCGATAACCAGTGAAGGTTCTATAAATTATTTACATCGTTGAACATGCATGACCGGTTTAAGCTCTAAATCCGTTTAAATCAATGTTTCGATTTTAAAATGTTCAGATGTCAAGCCATTTGTTGGTCTGTTGTGATATTATAGCCAATAAATTCAAAATGTCAATGCAAGAGAAAATTCTTGAATAGTCTTGATTATCTGCCGAAACAGATTCCACAGGGCGTAAGAGGCAAAATAGTGACCCATAGTATTGGTAACATTGTGCATCAGGTTGACAAGCTGGGTCTTAAACTTTGATATCGTTAAGGGTTTCAACACAATCCTAAACCTGTCAAAGTTATTCAATATCCCAAACACTGCTTGTGTATTCTGTACATATTCAAAGAGACACCGCGTTGTGCACATACTTCTATTCCATGTTTAAACGTAATGATCATGGTAAGACTAATATTCACTTTTATACTATGTTATCTGTCTAGCTATTTGTTATCATAATGTAATTACTTTAAACACGGTAGTACAATTATTTTTTATATATAACTCCAACGCAAGGAAACAATCAGTCTCGACTGTATGCCGAATATACCCTCATTGGGGGTAAAAGAGAAAATAAGGGAGACAATTACATGAACGAATCACTGAAAATCAGTGGTGACACCAGGTGTTCACGAAAAGGTATCCTGGACCTGCAGGTTTGGTACAAGCTCCGATTACAGTGACTTCGTTTTAAGAGTATTTGGGAGTGAAGTCGTGGTTAATGTACGAATAATATAGAGATAACGTACGGATAATGCACAGGGAATGCATTTTATGACTTAAAATGAGGATGTTTGCAAGGTATACTGACTTCCGCCAATTACATAATGGAATATACATTCATTACACTCGTATTATAAAAGGCTCGCCAGTCTACTCCATCACCGATTATACATTTAGGCTATAATTCTTGCACGTATTATATATAATTACTCGTCAGCCCTATCCATAACGGAATATACATTTACATCATGTATTCCATGAGCGTATTACAAATAACTTTTTCACGTATTATGACGACTCGTCAGCCAACTTAGACACATAATGGGGTGTCTAGGTACGTATATAAACCAACCCGACAGGGGCGGAACTGCTCAATGAAAATTCCCAAACTTCACATCTTCTCTGATCGCACAATCCTTCTCGTCAGAATTGAATTCTGCAAACAGAAACATACATAAATATTTTGTTCAATCATACATTTTAATAATGAATTACAAAAACTTACGTTCAGTGTTACTGCCGTGCTGACAAGCGAGAGAGACGAGCTACTTTCAGCGCCCCTTATTTATACCCGTAACATACCCAGGCTAATTACCTCCCTTAGCCATTGCATACCGCTAAGGAGAAAGCAGTTTCTTTCTTATTCATAATGCACTCAACCGAGAGAAACATCATTTCTCCTCTCCATACTATGCAATGCCACATACCCAGACATATATACATACAACATAACACCAATATTTACAATGGCCCGGTCGTGTCGACACGGGCAGAGACTCAAAGAAAGTCTAGAGCCCTAGAGACAGGGAAACGACAATCGTCTCTGAAGATGATCCTTAATGTAACCGTCCTTAGCATTTTCACTTCTCCAACGTCCGTGTCTTTTAAACATTCGATCTGGTACGCCGTTGTTTGCCGCTGCTGACGCCCCACCACTACGCAAGCTATTAAGTCCATAACTTTTGATGTTGCACACAAATGGCGTAAAAGCCTCTATAAACAATTCTCTAAAGATATATTCATCAGAATGAGTCAATATTCCGGATAAGGCAAAGTATTTTTCCAAACTTGTAACGGGACATAATTTTGAATTTGTCCTACCAATGACAAGCCATGAACCATCTCTGTATATGTTATATGTCCGTTTTTGATTGTTCAATAAATAACATTATATGACTCTCATAAAAGACAATGTCAGATCGTCTAATGTGTAATAGTTCTGCAGATCTCAGGAATCCTGAATATGCTACAAGGCACATACACATAATCCTTACATTACAAAGTGTAGGATTAAGCATTGTTACATCAACTAATTCCTAAAAATCGGCTCCTTTTTATTAACACATTTGGCCAATCTTCTTTTTGCCGCTTCTAAAACATTATTTACTAAACCATTCTCAATCGGGCTTTGCAATCCTACTATCACATGAGCATGGCGAATACTATAAAATGCAGTTAGCACAGGGGCAAACGATTCACTCTGCTGAACAACAGACGGCAAATATAATGCGCAGTGCAAAGTTGAATTCGGTAAACTCGTAGCCATTAAACAAGAATGTGCCAACCGTTTCAACGCATCAAAACCATATCTGTATTTCCTAGCAGTGGAATCTGCTATACAAACCTGCTGCCAACCCCCTTACACCAGGAGGTAACGCCTTTAACTCCTCTCCATAAGCGCAACTTATCACATCCGTTAACAGAAATTGCACATTCAACATATGCTAAAATCAACACGCAGAGCTAGCATATTAGACAGCAAATCTTGTTCTCCAAACAATCCACCTCCAATCCTAGACGGTACATAAGCTTTTTGGCAAATACATGTGTTCTATCACCTGTGGAATAAACGAGGAATTGCGAGTGATAAGCGTCCAAAAGCATGTGGAATGTCATTCGGGCACAACAATGGTGCCTTTAGCACAACATTCAGACATATGTCTTAAGGTTCTTGGTACCATACCAAAAGGGGGGACAACCCAATTTACCACACCCTTCCAGCTGACTGTGAAACAGTCCACAGCCGCACATCCCGGGTTATAATACCTGGAATTAAAACATGGCAAATTAGCACTGTACCAAGATGCAAATCTATCTACATCGTGAGGACCCCATCTGGCATCTATATGCTTAAATATGTGATTCGAAATAGACCAATAAGCGAAATCAACAATTTTACTCAACATATCTGCGGTCTCATTCTCTGAACGCGGGATCCACTGCATATTCAGATTAACTTTTTGACTTGAACACAAATAAAAAAAGTCCATAACTATTCTTTGTAATTGCGGTTTCATACTACCCTTATCCACTATGGTAAACACATTTTGATTGTCGCTACACCAAAATATTCTACGATATTCTACGAGAAAAACGGCCTTGAGTTCTCTCCATGTTGAACTATTTTTGCCTCCTCCTCCGACCACTGACCATGGGAATAAGCAGCATCCATTTCAACACAATACCCTCCATATCCGGTATCACTGGCGTCACTGTACACAACTCGACTCACAACTGTAGTCCTTATCAGTACTGTCCTCGACAAACGAGCAATGTTTTCTCTCCAATACTATAACTGTTCAATGCTTCACGATGACGCTGTCAAAACATCAATGCTGAAAAACTTAGTCATTGATTGTACAACATTTCCTATAACTAGTTTCATTGTTATGATTTGTCCGATAATCGCAGCAACACGCCACACTGGTTGATAAGAGCGCATATTCACTAAAATAAATGTAATCGTTTCAATCGCCTTATCTAACTTCCTCTGAGGAACAGATAAACACAGGGTGTTTGTATCCATGTGATGACCTAGCCACTCAATAGACTGCGAAGGTAACCATAGTGATTTTTCGCATTTGGGTACAAATCCAGACTTGATCAAGTCTTCTTTTATAGCCTCGCCAGACGAACGTGTAATAAGTTCCGATTGAGCTGATAAAATACTGTCATCTAAAAAGGTGACCACTTTCTTCCCTTCAGAATGCCATTTCTTGACAAACTGGCGTGTAACCTTAGTAAACACATAAGGTGCTGAAGTTAACCCGAAAGGTAAGACTACGAACTTGAAATATTGCTTCACACCCGAAGCATTTTTCCACGAAAAACCTAGGAATTCAGTATGACCTTCAAATATGTCTATATGACGATATGCTGAATGTGTCAAATTTTATTAACCAATCGTTGACATTAATATATTCAAGTGCAGTTTTCCAATCTTCATATTTGATTGACTATTTGCTAACGTAATTGTTAACTCTGGACAGATCTAAAATCAAACGCTTTTTCGCCGACGACTGTATAGACACTGATAGAGGGTTAACGATGTACGGTGGAGACTCACATTCACTTATTAATTGTTTCTTATGCAATTCTAAAATAGCTTGGTTAACAAACTCTGCATGTCTCAACGCCGACCTGTTATTTCTTAACTCCATCTTTGAAGGCCTGGAAATAAAAAGACTTTTATATCCATTGTCTATAATATCAATTATGAATTGAGACGCACCGACGTTGTACCAGAATTGAATGCTAGACTTTAACCGACCCTTCACTATAATTTCTGCTGTTCCCTGTTCATATTCATAATAATCATTAGTAAGGGCAATGTCATAATCATCAAGCATATTGTTTTCCGAATGTACATTATAAACTACACTTAACTGACAAGTCTGTATCCTGCCTAAGAGGCACTGGTTACTGTGGCGTTGACACCTGTTGTCGCCCTGGTTGTGCTGCCTGTGCGGTAGGGAGTTTTTGAACTCGCCGCACAAATGGCACGATCCTTGTCGTGTACCTTTGACCCGAAAGGGCTGCATGATAGGAACGCTATGCACAGGAGTAGAAGCGGGTAGAGCACATTTTACGTGCTGTGCTGAGATCGACCTGCGAGAAGCACGAGATCCATAAGGGTTCTTGCGATTTTGTTTCAATTTAAGTTTTCTGACAGCTTTTGATTGATTCTTGTCATCATCCGAATCATCTGCTAACTCATTGGAAACATAATGTTTGACGCTCTCCCAACCGCCTTCCGACGAATCTGCAATTTTTTATCAGCTTATTTGTTTTCTCTAATTTCCCGATAGCTTCTTCCACACACCTTGACATATCATCATAATTCCCATTCTGAATGGCTTGTCTGGTATTAAGTAATTCTTCTAAAACTTCCGAATTAACATTGAACTGAATTCGATTTCCTTCCCTTGACCCAGAACATTCTGTTTCAGTCTAAAACTTCTTCAAACCTTTGGCTTGCTGAATACATTCTTCTCTTAGGTGAGATTTTTTTCCCCTCCACAGCACTCTCAATATCGCTTTGATTAGTGTCCATTTTTTTCAAAATGGCGTCAAGTTTTCCCGCTGTTGATGGATCTTCTTGAGATATAATAGAACTTGACACTTATGTTCACTGTTACTGTCGTGCTGACAAGCGAGAGAGACGAGTTACTTACTTACTTACTTTGGAGATTTAACGTGCGCTTTCCGACTGATGCGTATTTCGCACACGGGCTACTTTCAACGCCCCTTATTTATACTTAGCCATTGCATACAGCTAAGGAGAAAGCAGTTTCTCTCCTATTCATAATGCACTCAACCGAGAGAAACATCATTTCTCTTTATTATACTGAACATCCTTTTGTGAATACATCTGACTGTGTACAAGCAAGAACAAAACATGTACTTTGCATTGACCTGTATTTTGATCTGAAATTTTCAGTGTTGGTCTTGACAATGTAATTAACGTTATCATCACTCAATAGTAGTGCCATAGACGTTCCAAACAATGTTGCGGTACAAAGTCAGTATAATGGGGAATTCTAAGAAAGGCTGCACTCTGGTATATTGTCACGAGTTGATTTCCAAATAAACCACAGAGGATAAGGCAGTGATAGGTAAACACAGAACTAAATTGTGAAATCGGTACAAGATCACTTCTTGTACTGACAAAAAGGACACTGCATGTATACAGGTTCACACATATTTGTACAAACACAAAGGTGCATAACATCTCACCATATAACAAAAACACTGTTTATAGCGTATTTAGTGTGTGTATATAGAAAAATGCTGATCTCTCACGTTGTTATGGGAATCATCCCAGATTCGATCCAGGAACCAACGTTGTCATCAGCTTTGATCGCTTTTGAATGACCACTTGTCAAGATTTCGCAGTTGCCTCCCTTATACGTTATGCGGAAGGGACAGGTTGGGGTTGGCACAGGTGTGTACCTCGGCGGGATTTGGCTATTTCAAGGCATCCAGGACATACAATAAAATCTCACACAGTGCACATGAAGAACTAGTATATATTCAGAACACCGATAGTGTCAACTTACATGTGGTATGTGTTTCTTAAATTAGTCTAATTTTAGTTTTGTCAACACACGAGGCTTCAAACGAAGAGAAGCTGAAAGTAGGAATTGTTGGCCTCAAAGTAAAATACATTGATGTAATTTTCTTTTATTGTTTTATATTTAATGTATATCTGACGTTCTGGTGAACAACGTTATTTGTTGATGTGTAAAACGGACACAATAAAGATAGATATCAGACTTAGTCTCGAATCCTAACGTTCAATTACCTCCCTTGTAATGTGTGTCTATTTACTTTAAAAGAAAGATTGGTGTTAACATAATTTATTTATTTATTTATACTAACAGTTGGTAGTTTTTAAACCTTTATAGGAAACACGTGCGCATTTCAAATAAGGTGGATAATGTCACAGCTGCAAGAGTTTAATTTGGCATCAATTAAGCCTGACCTCACAATATCACAATAATTCATATATTCAGTTTTAATTCATCACTGCAGGTAAATCCTGTATTGTGCGGAAACAACAAGCTTGTTCTTATAGCAGAGTCAGTAAGTCATTACGATAATGATTTCAACTATAATGAGAGAAAGGTTTAGTTCAAATACAAGGATAAACAAATATATAGACCTAAACCCACGTTTCGGAAAAGCCTTATTTGGCGTTATATCAATATATGTATTCCTATAGTACTATGGAAGGGTCAATAAAGACACATATTTATATCTTCAAGTTGATTTGAAAAGAATATTAAAGTCTGATTTACTGACAGACTATTCCACTTGTGGCTGAAAATATATCTCAAGTAACCAACGCTTGTCACAAGTGCGACTCAATTTGAACAGTTTCTTACAATGAGTGATCGTACCCTGACCTCTGGACTCAATGTTCGTCATACCAGCAGCTGTTGGGTTGCCTGGTGGACACTCGACATACTCACTGTCACTTTTGGAATAAGGAATTATATGTGATGTGCCAAACAGTAAACGGATTTCTTCAACTTTTATGAAATAATGCAGTTGATTTTATATGAAGAATAAACCCTCTTACGATGGTAGCTGCTGATGGTTTGAGTGGTCGAACCTGGACATACTACAACATATTTAATGACGCACTCAACACGTGAGTGAACTTGTATATGTGCCACTTTGAACAGTATTTCAGTTATGTCAGCTTGGTGCGGAAGGTAAGTCCCAAGTGGCTTTCAACAAGACATTTTCAAGATGAGGCCAAGCAAAATACAAATTGCCCCATTACAGAGACCTACGAACTCCACCAGAAAAAATAATATTTTGAAAATTTGAAAAATGATTGATGTGACCTTCAATTCTGGTTTTTCAGATGGCGACATCCCAGAATGAGAAAGTGATGGAATTCCTCACCTGTGTGATCTGCCAGGAACTGTACACAGACCCCTGTACACTGAGGTGTGATCACACATTCTGCAGGAAATGTGTCACCAAGTACATCCAAACCAGACCAGATGCTGTACAGTCCAACACGATCCCCTGTGCCTTCTGTCGACAAGATACCAAGGTCCCCCACCCCAGCAGGCCAGTGGAGGAGTGGGCAGGGCAGATCAAACCCAGCATCATTATACAGGGGCTGATTGACACTATAGGGACTGAGGGTGATGTACCAGGTTAAGTTCAACCAGAAGTAACATTCATATGGATCAGTTAATCATGTTCATCGAAAGATAAATCTATGACAAAAAGATCTTAAAACGTATTAATCAGAAATAATGTCAATCCAGTTAGATGAATTATTTGGTGGAAGGTGAGCCAAGTGAACAAGATAAAGGTACAACCAGTTGTAATATTTAAGTTGATTTAATCACCTGTGTTTATGATATGGTATTTATTCATGAGAAATTGAAACTTCAAATAGTTCATCAAGTTGGATAGGTTATTGAACTTCAAATAAAGACTGTTTACATGCTTAGCGTTCACATATTGGTTTGTTTTAGAAACAATACGTTCGTTTTTCTGTTCACAGAGACGTCAAGCATCTGCTGCATGATCTGTCAGCAAATAGGGGAGACAACTCCAGGTGCCTTGTGGTGTCCTGAGTGTGAAGTGGCCCTCTGTGACAGATGTGTAAAGACACACCGGGTGAGTCCTACGTCACAGGACCATGACCTGTGTGACCTGTCATCTAGGTCAAAGGTCAAACGGAGGGTTAAGTGTACAGAACACAAGAGTAACAATGTAGAGTTCCACTGTAAAGACTGTCAGAAGGCTGCTTGTCAGACATGTTATGTCACCTACCACAGAGCTTGTAAAACTGTCGTCACCATTGACTCTATGAAGCCAGAGATGGAGGCAGCACTGCTGGAGAAGAGATTTGACATGGGGAAGAGACTGAAAGTGAGGTCGAAGAAAGTAGAGCTGAAAAATAATAAACTCAAGACTATTTTTAGAGTTAAAGAGTCAGCTGTACAACATATTAGGTCAATATGTCAGACAGCTATAAACAAGATTAAACAGAAAGAAACACAACTCTTGGATGAACTGAATACCATTACACAGACGTACGCCGGCCAACTCCGCTCTGGTGTGAAGCTTGAAGAGATTGAAATGCAGATGTACAGACAACACTGTGAGTTCATTGACCAGGCCTTGGTGTCGGACTGTGAGATGGACCTGTATGACGCGTATCAGGCCTGGGAGTGGGGGGCTGTAGAGTTGGGAGATGTCATGGACACAGACACAGCAGCCACGCGGAGAATAGATAACATCAGGTTTACATCAAACGCTGAGCATGTCCAGCACATCATAGATAACCTACATCTGGGAAAGATTCACGTCACATATCAGGATCAGAAGAAATGTCTGCTGTCGCCTGTGCTAGTTGGAATTACAGACGGGAGGATGGCGGGTGATGAGAATGAGCCTGATCTACACGACGTCACAGTCCTGGTTGTAGACGGTATACAGACTGCTGTGGTTACCGACATGAAGAATGAGTGTGTAAAATCTTTCTACACAACAAACAACCAGCGATGTCATAGTAAACTTCCCCTGGGTGACCTTCCATGTGGTGTAACACAGTTGAAGGAGACACAGGTGATGGTGGCTGTCCCTGGATCCCGTCAGATTGTAACAGTAAAAGTGACCCCTGACCTGGCCCTGCTCTCGTCCTTCACAACAAATAAGGTGTATTACAGTCTTGCTGTTCTGAATCCTTCCTGCCTAGCAGCAGGTGGATACGGCGTTGTTGATATCCTGGACATGGCGGGGCATGTGCTGAGGACACTCACTAAACGCAACAAGACCCTGTTTACCTTCCCCTACTACATGTGTGTCAACAGCAAGGGCAACATACTCGTGTCTGACGAGAGGAAGAAGTCTGTTACATGTCTAACTACAGAAGGTGATGTTGTGTTCAAATACGCACCTACCGGAGACAGAGCGCTCAGCTTGCCTCGTGGCATCACAACTACAAGCAAAAGAGACATTCTGCTTGTAGACAGGAGCACCAATGAAATGATTCAGCTGACAGAGTCGGGGGAGTTAGTTGGAGATGTTCTCAAGTCAAAAGACGTGTGTGATGTATTCTGTGATAAATACGGATTCTTCTTTCTGTGTACAAAAACGGATGTGAGAGAGTATATGTTAGTATGATAGAAAAAACAAAACAATCATGGATTGTGCATGAGGTTATTCTGAAAAGGTTATAAGTAAATTTATGTAAAGAGAATAGATCGAGTAAAAGAGTAGAATACATAATAATAACAGTCTTGGGTATCGCTTTTTCAGTCAAGCAGACATGGAGTATTCAAATAGGTTACTTCCAGCAATGAATAATCCACGTGATCACAACGTGAAACACACCAGTAGTGCCAGTTGTTATAGAGATACTTGTGGTGACATCGGCCACAGAAGGTCAACTTGGTCACACAAAAGTATTAGTGATAAGGAGTTTAAAGGGTTCTTAATCGATTACTTTTAATATTTTGAAATCGTAAAAACACACGATAACCGTGTATCTGCATTGATTCAACATTCTAGACTAGATAATATCCATTTTATTCATTTGTTCTGTAAAAAGATCCGCCGTTTGCACCTTAAACACACATCATGGTTGGACCAAGAAACTTGAAATCTACTGAGGCTGTGATTCTTGTCCTCAACTTTTTTGTGCATTTCATGGGTATTCGGTAATGCCAAACGTCATTGAAACTCTGTCTGTACTTATTGTCATCTAGATGAGTATGGTAGGCTTTGAGTATCAAGCCCTTCATCCATTTTCTTTATGCGTATTTTAAATCATTGATGTACTTTTTTGTACGAATATACGCAGGAGGAAAGTAACTCTGCATATAGCTTTGTATTGTCTCCTCACTGTACAACCCCAACCGAGCTAGTGCAGCAGACAATACAGTGCATCACCAAGGAAAACCCAAAATCCCCTTCAACAATCTAAACCCTTTGTCATCAGCCTTTTGGAACTGTCAGCCATACAATTAAGAGACTCTAAAAGAAGCGGGCCAACATTGACGCCATCAAAGCCAAAGGAAAGCCGCAAAACAGCCAACAGCAAGAACCCTCAGGAGGTGTGTACCACATTCCGTGTACTTGTGGACATGCCTACATTGGCAAAACGTCAAGGCCCCTGAAAATCCGAATTAAAGAACATCAGAGCTCAGTGTCCAAAGTTGATTCTAAATCACCTTTATCAGACCATGTCCGTGACGACTCCTGTCAAGGCATCCAGTGGGACCAAATCAAAACTGTTACAATCAACCTCAAATACATCCAGATTTGAAAATTCCAAGAAAATTCCAAGAAGCAAGCCACATCAACAGACTCCCACTTGTAATGAACTGTGATCGAGGCTGTTACAGACCTTTTGCCTACGTAACTCATTAAAATATTTAGTCAGTCGTAATCCCCTTGTATATGTAACTGGTTTCAGCCCCTTGTTTATGTTACTGACATTTTTACCCGCTTGTGTACATAACAGGCTTCTCCACGCGACTGAAACCACACGTTAACGTTTCGATCTGTGAACCTATTTTAACATATCCCATGCAACATATAACTCTGTTCTCGTGTCAACCAACATTAGAGTTTTGTTAATCTAACATGAGGATGAATGAGTGAGTTAATTATTAACAAGTGCAAAAGTGAGCGTGGCTCACTAATACCCCCGACCCACCTAGTGTGTCAGTAGTCACAAATTAAATAGCTAGGAAAGGGTCTGGCAGGGTTCCCCCTAGACTCCAATATCTGAGAGTCACCTTGACTCAGCCTATTGATTTTGGGGAGTCAAAAATATTTTTTGAGAGTCAAATGTTTTATTGTATGATTAATGAAATTTAAAGTGTTCACTGTTAATGTTACACTTAAAGTTGAGTATCTTTTAAATATTATATGTCTTTAGTTTAAGTTAACAAGTGCTAATTAATGTTCTCAATGTGCTGATTGTAATACAGAGAAATAAAGGATAAATGAATGAAAAACATAGTTTGTTGGTTATATTTTTTCACAATCTTTAATTACTTCAGAGCTCATGAAACAATTTACAGTGACACTAATACAGGATTAATAAATAACATCAGTCTCAACTGTGAGACATAATTTTTAATCATGGATGGATATTAAAATACATTTCATGTCAGATTATAATTTAATACCACTAACTCATTTACATCTTTTATCTAGTTATCTTGTATTATCTATCAACAGTGAAGTTGAACTAAAAAGTTGTGAACACTTGTAATATTTTCTGGTTGAATACGGTTTATTAGCAACACCAAATACGCCCAAAGCTTAACATTTCGTATATACCATATTTATTCGTGTATAATACACACTCGTGTATAATACGCACCCCTAATTATGGGCAATTAAATCCTGAAAAAAATATCTCTTGTGTATAATACGCACAGACTTTTCTTCAGTCTCATTTCAGGCTGTCATGATCTGTCATCGGAAATAGCATAACAAATCCGAATTGAATTACCCAAGTTAATCCTGTTGTTACACTATCTAGTAATAAAAATGTGTTCGCTGTATATCTGACCTTATGTTTGTCATCTATTTTATTATTTTTATTTAAAATTTCATTCTATAATGTTTACCTAAATTTCGGCAAAAACATGTGTCCCTCAGATACTTACAACTTCCGTTTACCCCGTTCCATAGGTTCAGCTTAACCACATACTGTGACCGCACAAAATCACATTCTTCATCGCAACAATGATAATATTTTCTTTTGTTTCATTTTTTACGAGTCTACACATCTAGATAAACATATGTCATGGTTAACTTTTAGTGAGAAAATTTTAAGGGTTTGAAAAATTCATAAACAAATGGAAAATTAATAAAAACATTTTTTTTCTTTTGGCTGCACCCCTTCATATGACACAGATTATATGTACTAAGTTTGAGATGAATCCACTGAATAGTTTAAGAGAAATCGCGCGGACAAAGTATTCGGAGAGACGTTAGGGTTTGAAAAATTCATAAAAAAATGGAAAATATATAAAAACAATGTTTTTCCTTTGACTGCACCCCTTCATATGACACAGATTATATGTACTAAGTTTGAGATGAATCCCCTGAATAGTTTAAGAGAAATCGCGCGGACAAAGTTTTCGGACGGATGTTAGGGTTTGAAAAATTCATAAAAAAAATGGAAAATTAATAAAAACATTTTTTTTCTTTTGACTGCACCCTTTCATATGACACAGATTATATGTACTAAGTTTGAGATGAATCCACTGAATAGTTTAAGAGAAATCGCGCGGACAACGTTTTCAGACGGATGTAAGGGTTTGAAATATTCATAAAAAAATGGAAAATTAATCAAAAACATTTTTTTCTTTTGACTGCACCCCTTCATATGACACAGATTATATGTACTAAGTTTAAGATGAATCCACTGAATAGTTTAAGAGAAATCGCGCGGACAAAGTATTCTGAGAGACGTTAGGGTTTGAAATATTCATTAAAAAAAAAGAAAATTAATATTAAAAAAATAAATTCTTTGACTGCACCCCTCCATATGACACAGAATATATGTACTAAGTTTGAGATGAATAGTTTAAGAGAAATCGCGCGGACAAAGAATCAAACAAGTATATATTACATTGTGTATCACAGACAATATCATTGGTGAATACTTAAAATAATAAGGGTCCTAACAGTGAACCTTGAGGGACACAGGCAAGTACAGGTTTAACATTCGATTGATGTCCATTAATATCATATATTGCTTTCTACCAGATAAGTAACTTTGGAACCATTTACAAAGAACCCCTTTTATTCCACACTTGCTTAATTTCTTAAATTAATCAGAAACCTTTGTGCCAAACACGATCGAATGCGTTGCTAATGTCACAGAATATTGCCATAACTTCCTGTCCATCATCTTAGGCCTTGCCTATGAAATCATAAAGATGAGTCAGTTATTGTCAATGTGTCGAACTCTATTACTGTCATGGTATCAAAAGATTCTGCCAATTCCTGAACACCAATGTATTTATCATCCGAGAGTTATCACTTGGACAGGTTCGCAAATCTTGGATACCAATCTGAGATATTGTCAGTCCAGACTAAGAACCATCTTTCAAGTGGTGAGAATTATTCTTCTTTACAGTAATTATGAAGTATGGGACTTGCAGGTAATTATCTATTGTTCAAACTGTGTTACCATGTTTTGGTTTACTTGAAATGTGTTGTTTACACAGAATCTACTTTAAAAAAAATATAAAGTGTATATTTAAGGAGGCCAACTTTTCCATAAAATATTTCGCTGCAATAATGTTCCATGGCGCATGTGGATTGTGGAACCAAGAAATGGTGTTTTCATCATTGCAAAATGTAATTCACATATCTAGACAAATCTTTACAAATAGGGAAAATATATTCAAAAATGATTCCTGCATAATAACGCAATAACCGGTAATTGTGTTTCGAAAATTTATGATATGTAAGTTATTATTTTCTGATAAAAACCCACATCAGATAATTACAATCGAGTCGTGCCTTCTTTGAAACCTTTGCAACAAATCATTTAACTTTCATTCTGTAATTTCTCGGGATAACCTATACACACCAATAAAATGCTGCCTTAAGATATTCCGGGATTTGTTCAAGCGTTTATGTTTTGCGTTTCGAAGGTGGCAAGTCAGACTCATTTGGATTCATTCCCGAGCAAAACACATGAGCTGTTTAATATTTATTGTAAAACTTTGTATACACATTAGGAAAGTTTGTCTATTGCTGTGTCTCTTTTCTATTTATTGTTTGCATTTCCAAGACAATACCTCTGACTAATATAATGTAAAATGTGGACACGGTTCATTTCTCAACTCATAAGCTGTTTAATATTGATTGGGAATCTTTCACACATAAATCATGACAGGCACACAATTTTTAAATCTGAGGCACCAAACTGGAATGTACGTGCGTATTTGTTGTACGCACTGAGCAATATTCGAGCTGAAAGTAAAGAGGTCGAGACTGCACCAGACAATGTAGCGATTGATATTATTCACTGTGTAAAGGAAAAACGGGGTTTAACCGACCTGGAGATTACCGAGAGTTGGAATATAACCCAAATCTGCATGCATGCCCCATGCGAACATATACCAAGAGGGAACAAAAATGTACCAAACTATATATCAGGCTCCACAAAAGAGACAGATAGGCATTCCAGATTTAGTGTCTGTATGTAAAATGTAAAGAAAGAACGCTTCTGTATGTATTCGTGCAAGGGAATTGCCCGCGTTTTCCCAGGAATGTGGAAGTAGTCCGTTAATCTTTACGTCATTTCAAGCACACGGTCAAGCACAAGGACGAGTTTAGCTGAGGGCGGCAATCCACATCTGGACGCAAAGCCAGCAGAAAGGCCGATATTAGGTCACCTCTTGTCGTTTTCTGAAAAACAGATCATGTCAAACTGTTACTGAGCATTCACTGTTTCTATAAAACATAATCTGCTGGAGATATCTGAGTGACAAAACGCCTTGAAATCGAGGCCTGTTGTAACAAGAAGTTATCACATCATTCCACTCTATTACGACAGAGAGTTGAGAAGCTACCTGAATTTTACAATTACTCAAATATATTGACATTGACCGGTTACATGATATAAATAAAAGACAATCCCCAGTTGTATTTTCGGTGAACGTATCCACTCAATTGTTCCTCGATTACTATAGGTCCTGTACCTAACTACTGGTGGCTACGTACCGAGACGATAGTGTGCTCTGCCAGTGTTGACTGTAAAAGGGGGTCGAGGTTACTCTTGAGTGAATAGATAACACGTATATATAGGCGCCGAGTCGGGCGGTGCAGATATGTCCTCGATAGGTTTAAGTATTTGAAAGGAAGGGCAGTAATTACAGAGACTCATGCTAGAAACACAGGAAAGCATTGCTGAATGAGATTGCAGCACTGAAGCCCACTGACGCACCATCTCAATAAATTTAGATCTTAGTTCTCGCTATCGCTAAACAAAGATCTGAGGACATCCCATTACGGGTCACGTCAGAACACCCTTTCATCGGACCAATCAAAGCGTCGCTTACCATATCAAGACAGTGATGTGTTTTCTAATGATGCAACCTCGAAAACGTTAACATGGGGTATTCCGAACGACAGTTACGACACGTACGACCGATTCCGACAAAATTATCGTCTATCTCGCTTCCTTGGGATAAACATTTGATCAGAGGAGTCGTTGCACAGTACGTGGGAAGCACTGCCATACAAGGGGCGGTCGGGTAGGCTAGTGGTTAAAGCGTTCGCTCGTGACGCCGAAGACCCGGGTTCGATTCCCGACATGGGTACAATGTGTGAAGCCCATTTGTGGTGTCCCCCGCCGTGATATTGCTGGAATATTGCTAAAAGCGGCGTTAAACCATACTCACTCACTCACTGCCATACAATCGCAACCATATATTAGACATTCCGGAATGTTCGTCTGTTCAGTTTTCAAAATATCAATAGGGAAATGTGTCAACATATTTTTCAAGCGTAGTCTGAAATGGAAGTAGTCTGAAAATAGTGCCGCAAAGCTCGAGAAAGCTGCTTTCTAATTGGCTGATGTCCACTTCTTGTTAGTCGTTTCAGTGGTCGGTCAAAGTTCGCGAAAGGTCGTTCTGACTATGGGATGTCCGCAGATCTTTGTTTAGCGGCAACGAGAACTTAGATCTGATTTTAATGAGATTGACTGAAGCAGTGAGTGCATATGACCACATATATGCAAACTGGAGTGCATACACTTGCAGGTGTAGCTATTTTGTAAAGCCGTTGCATAAATGTACATTTTCCTTTATGAAATTTACAA